GCGGACCGAATATGACGAATCCGACTCCGGCTTCCTCGTCGATCGGTACCACCACCACGGGCGCTGCGGCATCAAATAATCTTATCTCTCCCTCTCTAAAATTTGTAATCTCTAATCTCAAATTTCTCGTTCCTCATGCTCTCACTCCAGACAATTTTCCGATCTGGAGTACACAGATTGCTAAACTTTTTAAAGCGAATGGCTTCGCTGAGTTTCTTGACTCAAAATCGACTACCGAAAATGTCGATCCCAATCAAGATCCGCGTTCTTGGCAAGTCACAGATCAAAATCTTGCGACGGCGATGTGCTCCACCATCTCGCCGGCTGTTCTTCCATACGTGATCCAGCTTGAATCTACCCACGAAATATGGGAGACTCTTCACAATCGATTTCAGGCCTCGAATCGATCCAAGGTAATACAGCTCAAAAATGAGCTTCATAATATCTCTATGCAGGCTATGACGATGACTCAGTACCTCACTGAGGTCAAGAAGATCGTGGATCAGATAGCTTCGGCCGGTTCTTCGGTAGATCCCGAAGATGTAATCATATACATCTTGAACGGCCTTCCGTTGGCCTATCAATCGTTCGCTACCACTATTCGCACTATGCAAGGATCATTATCTCTCGACTCTCTCTATGCGCTTCTCATAAGCGAAGAAATCCATCTAAAATTGGCGGCTCTGAAATTTCCTAAACTACCGGACAATCAGTCGGCTTTGTACACGACAAGAGGTCGAGGTAGGCGCGGCCGCGGAAGACAGTTGCCAACCATGGGTCCGGCAACCAGTACTAACCCGAACTCTTCCATTGTATGCCAAATTTGCAAGAAAAAGGGACACAGTGCGAACGCATGTTGGCACCGGCTCAATGCAAACTACAAGCCTCAACAGCAAGCGGTCAAGAACACAAGTGCGCTCATAGCAAATAACGAAGGTAACTCGACGTCGGATTGGTACATCGACTCAGGTGCCTCATCTCATATGACGAACACAACTGAGAATTTGGACTTCTACACGACGTACAACGGATCTGAAAACGTTATTCTTGGCGACGGTCGAACGGTTCCAATAGCTCACTCGGGTTCAGGAATTCTTCCTACCCCCGCTAGTAAGCTAATCTTATCTCGTCTATTACATATTCCTTCCTTATCCTATAATTTACTATCTATTTCTAATCTTGTCAAAGATAATCCCATTTCTATAACATTTGATGCAAATGGCTTCGTGTTTAAGGATCGGATGACAAATCAAGTCATCCTTAAAGGCCCGTGCAATCAAGGAGTCTACAAGATAGCAAATCCGTCTCACGGTGCTACCACTACCGCCTTCGCAGCAAATACATCTTCCCCTGGAACTTGGCATCTGCGCCTTGGACATCCGCATCATCGTGTTATTCAAACTATATCGCGTGTTAATCCTTTGTTACATATAGGCACTAATAAATACAATTGTACTCAATGTATGTCTTGTAAAGGACACAAATTAGCTTTTGAACGATCCTCCAACAGCAGTCGTTTTCCGCTTGAACTTGTTCATTCCGACGTGTGGGGGCCCTCACCGGTACCCTCACACCAAGGCTTTCGATACTACGTTATATTTGTAGATGACTTTTCTCGCTTTGTTTGGTTATTTCCGTTATTACACAAATCTGATGTTACACATACTTTTGTTAACTTTGTGAAATTTGTTGAAAGACAAACTAACCGGAAACTACAAACCATAAGGACCGACGGTGGAGGTGAGTTTATTAACAATCATTTCCAATCCTTCACCAAAAATGCAGGAATTCGTCACCAAATGTCTTGCCCGTATACTCCCGAACAAAATGGGATAGCGGAACGTAAGCATAGACATATAATCACTACGACCAGAACTCTGTTATCTACTGCGGGACTTCCGCCGACTTACTGGCTTGAGGCAGCCACAACTGCCACTTATTTGATTAATAGACTACCGTCCGCCACAACTAAGCACACGGCTCCGCTCTATCGTATGTTTAACATTCAACCTTCTTATGCTCATCTTCGGGTGTTTGGGTGTGAGTGTTTCCCGCTACTTCCTCCAACTCAGCGCACGAAACTCACACCGACCTCCAACTCTTGCATATTCTTGGGGTATTCCGACACATCGAAGGGATATAAATGTTTAAATTCGGTAACAAATCAACTCCTTGTGTCTAGAAATGTTCATTTTAATGAATCTGTTTTTCCTCTTAAAGTCAAGGAAACTCAAGAACCGGTGCATCAAGCTTCGGTGCCACCGTTGCTTCTCATCCCGCCATCTGTGGTGCGAAAGCAGAACAACAAACCTTTACCACCAACCGCTAGCTCTTTCGTTCAACTTAATCCCGGTCAGACAATGCATATCAATTCAGGATCAACCGCTGCTATACACACGGCTACCTCACCTCAGCAATCAAACCAAATTATTCAGCATCCTATGACAACTAGGACCAAAACGGGATCTCTCAAACCCGTTCAACGACTCAATTTGCTTCATAAGGATCAGCTCTCCACTGATCCTACAACATACAGTGAAGCCAGCAAAAATTTTGAATGGAGACAAGCCATGGCACAAGAATTCTACGCTCTCCAAAAGCAAGGAACCTGACTGCTTGTTCCTCCTCCTATGACCGGGACCATTCTAGGGACATACCGAACCAAATTCAATTCAGACGGAACGGTTGCTCGCTACAAAGCTCGATTAGTTGCTCAAGGCAATCAACAGGAATATGGCTTAGATTATCAGGACACATTCAGTCCTGTGGCTAAACTTCCGACGATACGAATTTTATTTACCATAGCCTTGTTCTACAAATGGAGCGTTCAGCAACTCGACGTGGCTAACGCATTCTTGCACGGAGACATAAACGAAACGGTTTACATGCGCCAGCCCAAAGGTTTTGAGGTTGCATCCAATCCGAATCATGTATGCAAACTACAAAAAGCCATATATGGTCTGTGTCAACCTCCGCGACAATGGTATACAACCTTTACTTCTCATTTACTGTAGCTCGGGTTTACTCAGAGCCAAGCAGACCCGTCTCTCCTGACTCTACACCGTGACTCTGTCCACCTCTATTTACTGGTTTATGTCGATGACATTCTGCTTACTGGAAATAACGAGAGAGCTATGGCTGAACTGGTAAGCAAACTACAATCCAAATTCGCTTTGAAGCATCTTGGTCCAGCAAATCAATTTCTTGGTATCAAAATTGAACGCACGCAAGATAAGTTCTTTCTATCTCAAACTCTTTACGCCAAATCAATAATTCAAATGGTCGAGTTACATAAATGCAACTCGGTCGCTAATCCGTCCTATACTAAACTTCCAGATTCTGGCTCGGACGATCATGCAGCCTTCGACGAGCTCAAATATCGAAGAATTATAGGCTCTCTTCAGTACCTAACTCTGACCAGACCGGACATTGCATACGTCGTAAACGCTCTATCTCAGCATATGCACAAACCGGCTCCAACTCACTCAGTCATGCTCAAGAAACTCCTCCGATACATACAAGGATCTCTCGATTTCGGGCTTCCGATTACTCGTTCCACTTTGACACTCAAGACTTATTCGGATGCAGATTGGGCGTCCGATCCAGATACTCGGAAATCTACCTCAGGTTTTTGTACTTTCCTCGGAAATACATTAGTTTCATGGACCGTTAAAAAGCAGAATACGGTCTCCAGGTCATCTACTGAATCAGAATACCGTGCGCTTGCCTCAGCTACGGCGGACATCATCTGGATCAAACGTTTATTATCCGATTTTGGTGTGTTACACTCTCAACCTTTAGACCTATACTGTGATAACATGTCCACCATTGCTCTCGCAAACAACCCTATTTTTCACGCACGTACAAAACATATCGAGATTGACCAACGGTTCGTGCGCGACCACATCCAGAACAAAAATATTCGGCTTCTTCCTATTAGCACAGTCGATCAAGTGGCCGATATCTTTACCAAACCGCTAACTACACCAAGGTTCAAATTACTGCGCAACAAACTAACCATTGCTCCCAATGTTCAGCTTGAGGGGGCATGTTAAGGACCGTTTATATTAACCTGTATATATGTATTCAATGAGAGCTTTACACGTGTCCAACATTTATTAGAATAGGCTATATATTGTATCATTCAGGCATTTGTAATCAAGAAAGATTTAATAAAAGTTTACTTCTTCTTCTTCCCGTTATTCCCTTCTCTGTGCTTGACTGCATCACTTCTACAGTTGTGAAGGTAACTTTCTACCATTAACACGCTTCTTCGGCCAAAGCCAATAAATCTTGCCAAACTCAAAAGAGGGTAACGGAGGATTTAACTTAATAGAGAGATTTAACAGTTCCCTGAATCCTCTTAAATCCTACATATTCCTATTCTAATCATATTAAATCCTACTCAAATGCATGAATCTTGTTCTAATCCAACTAAAATCTAATTAATTATGATTATTCATAATTAATTATTTTTAATTACAAATAATCATAGTTAATAGAACACAATGGAGAATAATGATTCATGTAGTCGACCCCACGTAGTGGGATAAAAGTTTGATGTTGTTGTTGTAGTAGTATTAAATTTTAATTAATTATATTTAATTTTTTTAATTATATTTAATTTTTTAATCATAATTAATTATTATTTATGATTATTCATAATGAACTATTATTAATTATAAATAATTATAATTAATTGCTAATTATAATTAAATTTAATTAATTAGATATAATTATTTTTAATTTTAATTAATTATTTTAATTATGCTTAAATATTTTAATTATAATTAATTATTTTTAATTAATATGTCATTTGACACTATAATTACCTTTCAAAAAATCATCCTCTCATATAAGCAGAGGGTTTCAGTTCACTATGTCATCTAACATTATGATTACATTTCAAATTATCCATGCATGCACCCGTAATAAGTAGAGGGTATCATTCTAGTGTGTCATGTGACACTGCAATTACATCTCAAAAATCAAATTGTGTGCACGCATAAATGCATTTCACGAAGCATATCCAATGGCATATACCCGCGTAATCCCTGGCGAGTGTGTTATAGGTATATTCATCAAAGGCAGTGCTTTTACAATAATAGTATATTTCAATGCAAACTTTTCCGCAAGAAAGCAAACACGAACCGCAATCTACTTGCAAGTCCAGATTTACCTGGTTTTTGACATCATCGCTCACGTTTACACTCGAAAAATGTTAATTAATGCAGGAAATGGGAGATCTTTTATAAGCATTTGAGCTTTAAATACCCATCAAGCTCAGCTGAAGAAATCCAAACCATCCTTGCTAAATTTGGAACTACTTTCAGATCTACAAAGAAAATGGCGACAGAAAACAAGGTGAAGCTGATCGGGGTCTGGCCGAGCCCCTACGTGGCGAGGGCAATGATTGCTCTTAATCTGAAGGGGGTCGAATACGAGTATCTCCCAGATGATTTGTTTAACAAAAGCGAGCTTCTTCTCAAGTTCAATCCGGTCTACAAGCTGGTCCCCGTTCTCATCCATGGAGATAAGCCCGTCTGCGAGTCCCGTATTATTGTGGAGTACATTGACCAAGTCTGGGCTTCTTCCGGCTGCCCTTCCATCCTCCCTGCCGATCCCTACGATCGCGCCACCGCTCGCTTTTGGGCTGCCTATGTTGACGACAAGGTACTTAACTGAATCTCTAATGAAAAGATATTAACTTCAGGCTGACTTTCAGAAGAAAATATACAAATTATTACGATGACTTCTTGTATTTTACCTTACTTGCAGTTAGCTCCTCATTGTCGAGTGTTGGTCTGGAGTAAGGATGAGAAGAGCATAGCAGAAGCGAAGGAGCAACTGTTAGCCGCAGTGCTGCAGTTAGAGGAGGCTTTCGTTAAGTGCAGTAAGGGCAAGAGCTTCTTCGGCGGGGACACCATCAACTTTGTCGACATTGCCCTCGGTTCCTTCCTTAGTTGGATGAAAGCTTTCGAAATTATAATGGGAATAAATTTTCTGGATAAGACGAAGACTCCACGATTGGTTGAGTGGGCGGAATGCTTCCGTTCCGTCGACGCCGCCAAGGAGGTGCTGCCGGAAGCTGAAAAGCTTGTGGAGTTCAGGAAATTTGCTATGGCTGCCCGTCGTGTTACTGTGGCTGACGCTGCCAACAAATGATGAGATGGTTGGATTATTGAAAGCAAGATTTCTGATGGTTTTTATCTGAGGGTAGTAGGAACGACTTTCATGTTGATTGGAATGCAGAGGTTTTTTATTTGAATTTTATGTGCATGTGATATATGTATAAGTTTGCTTTAATTATTCTAAATATCTAAAAAAGAAAAAGTGCAGGGGGTTTGGGAGGAAAATAATAAAATTTTATTTGGAGGATTTTTTATTTGAAATTTAAGTCTTTTTTTTTTTTTAAGAAAATCTTGACGTTGATTTCATCTATTTTGATATATGTATGTTTTGATTGACCTTTGATGCATCATCAAAAATTTCATTGATAGGACAGGAATCTCAAGGCATATCCGAGTTAAAAACTTCTAAAATTAAAATTGGGATCATTCAAACTCTAATTTCAACAAACTCAAAGAGACAAACCAATGGCATCAAAATTGGTCTAATTTGAGCCCAAATCAAGTGCCTGAAGCATTCTTAGAAGGTTCGATGGATTAATTAAATGACCAAATGATTATCACATATAGCATGCTTATTATAAAATCGAGCGGCTCAACGAGACGAATCCAACGAGCTCCGAATCACATAAATGCTTGATAAATACTATATGATTAAGAGAATCACTATCAGCATTTGATGGAACACTCTAACATGTCATTTATTTTTTCTACATATGAAATTGGTCTTGATAATAGTTGGTTTAAAGTTTTGTTTGGGACAACTTTATTACTATTTTCTAAAGCAGCTTTCTAGTACAAAATTTCTTGTTCAGAAAAGTTTTGTACTAAAAAACTATTTTAGAAAAAAAAAAAACTGTCAAAAAATTATTCCAAACAAAATCTTAGATGAGCAAAATGGGCCATTAACTCCACTTGACTCATAAATGCACTTTAGGATATCTTTTAAATTTTATTTATAAATTTAATATTAGCCTGAAATTATTTAAGTAGCCAAGTTGAGCCTTATTTTCTTTTCTCTCATTATGATATAATAACCAATAAAAACATTTTTAAATAGAAAAGGCTCGTTAGTATTTCAAAGTAAAAGTAATTTTGATTCATAAATCATAAAAAAAATTAGTATATGAAATTCGTGAAATCAAAAGTAATCTAAGCTAAGCTAAAAATTCAACTTTAATCTTCTTATCATTTATGTTGAAATTATTATCAGTAGTTTCCTCACAAATGATCAACAAAATTTATTTCACTATTATGCAGTTATATGAACAATATTACTGACATAAAAATGAATTTACTCTTAGGGGTTTTTTTCTCAACAACATTTAGAGCGTAAAGTAAAGTAAAATAGGGGTTTTGAAAATTTTTGTGTTTGAATGGTTATGTTCCAAATAGAAAGTATTTTGGATCTTACGGTATAACTCACACTCAAGTTCATATTAATTATATTTGGAATTCACTTATTTTTGAATGAATTTGAAATACACAACTTAGGTAAATGTTATGTTGGTCATATGTTGCTACCCATTGGTCACAGGTCACTAGGGGTACAATCGAGTCAAGTCGACCTGCGAGCTAGCTCAAGCTCGACTCGTTAACAAGTTCGCGAGTTGAGTTTATTGAGCTCGCGAGTCGAGCTTATTGAACTCGCGAGTCAAGCTCGAGCAGGATTTCGAGCTCGTTGGGCTTATCCGCTCGAGTTCAAATAGTTCTCTGCTTGACGAGTAATTTGGGCTTATCGAGCTCGGGTTCAAATAGCTGATGACTCAACTTGATTACTTGTTGAGTGACTCGCAAAAAGCGGAAAGGTGGGGGATGGAAGGCGTAACTGCGGGGGTAGAAGGTATAACAAAGAGGGCGGAAGGTGGAATCGTAGCAGGAGAAAATCAAAGCTTATGTCATGTGTGAACTGCGGTGGAGGGCTAACCAGAGCTCATGCCGGTTGTGAATCGCAATGGGGGGGGGGGAGGATTGGGGGGCAAATAGGAGCTTGTGCCATGGCGGGATGCGTTATCCAAAGCGGGCACGTGCGAACCACATTCGCAACGGAACATAGCTGCTCGATGAGCTTGATTTCTGTGGCGAGTCAAGCTCAAACTCGACTCAACTCGTTTGCACCCCTACAGGTCACAATCAATCACCACCTCCCATAATTGGTTGCAATTATATCATATCCCTAATTGACACATGCCACACATCGCTGTCACGATGCATCATTGGAGCCAACTGCCCTACTGCCACTAATCGCTGCCTATCGTCCTCTCACCACTAATTACATACACCATCCATTGCCCATATCATTTGTCATTGCCAGCCATTGGTGATTGCACTCATTTGTTGGCCACCTCTTATCAATTATTATTTTAAATGCATAGCTATTTTACTTTGAATTTTCATACTTCAAACCCAACAAAAAAAAAAAACTATTGCATTTGTTGCGTATTGATTCAAATAACTCAAAAATAATTTCAATAAACTACTTTTACTTTCTATTGACTTACATTCATTTTTTATTAAAACAAACATCTCATAAGAAAGGTTGCACTTCATTTTAGTTTAGGAAGATGTATAATGTTAAACCAATTATCTCTTTGTTACTCAAATATCTTAGTATGTATTTATGAGATACTCTACTATTACTTGCAAAATAGATAATAAATATAAGAATGTTTATCCATCACTATCATTATTATGACCAACTTTTATTTAACTATATTGTATATGAGCTTTAAAATAGTGGGAGAAAAAAAGTAGGAATTTGATGATAAAAAATGTTATTTGTTGTGTTGATTTTTGGCTAATAATGTTACATATGCAAGCTTGTAGCTAGTTTTACTAATAATTGTAGTTATACATTAGAAGAAGGCCAACAAAAAATAAACATACAAATTTGATGACAATCATATGCTAAAAAAGGTGCACTCAGG